CAGAAGGTTTGAGTGCTGAGTCAACAGCTGCTTCCAAAGGGTTCACCCCAACCCCAGAGAATGAAAAAAATATTCCATTAAATCAATTCATCTAGTTTTTAGCCATTTTAAGATGCCGGCTGGGAATTGGAGCTGAAATCCACACATCTTTTAACCGGTTGAGAAACTCTGCTTTTAACGGCAAGGCTCTTCCTCAGTCCTGTTGCTCGGTAGATTGTCTCAACCACTAAGTGGACGCATGTGACTTTGAATGTCTGGTGTCTTCTGGGAACTTTATTTATTTATTTATTTTCTGGAATCCATGGGAAAGGAGAAACTTTGCCCTCTCTGTAGGGCAAAGTTTCCTTGGGCAACAAACAAGCCTTCAAACAGCACTGCTTTTTTCACAAAGGGTTTTCAAATTCAGCCATCTGATATAACTGATCCAGAGAAGGTTTCAGATGTATGCTCCTAATCCACAAGATAAGCTGAGTTACAGGTAGTCCTCGACTATACTGTACTGTACTGTACTGTACTGTACTGTACTGTACTGTACTGTACTATACTATACTATACTATACTATACTATACTATACTATACTATACTATACTAATAGTATAGAATAGAATAGAACAGCATAGTATAGTACAGAACAGAACAGAACAGAACAGAATAGCTTTATTGGCCAAATGTGATTGGACACGCAAGGAATTTGTCTTTGGTACATATGCTCTCAGTGTACATAAAAGAAAAAAAAATACATCTATCAAGAATCATAAGGTTCAACACTTAGTCATAGGTTACTAATAAGCAATCAAATTGTTCTAGCAAACAAATAAAACAATATAAATCATAAAAATACAAGCAACCTGGTTATAGTCATAAGTGAGAGGAGATAGGTAATAGGAAGGATAAGAAGAATAATAGTAATACAGTTTTAGTAGTTAATTTGACCGTGTTGTGGGAATTATTTGTTAAGCAGAGTGATGGCATTCAGGGAAAAAACTGTCCGTGTGTCTAGTTGTTCTGGTGAGCCCTATAAGTCATTTTGAGGGTAGAAGCTGAAAAAATTTATGTCCTGGATGTGAGGGGTCTGTAGATAAAGTTACAATTTTTTAAAAAATGTTACCATTGTAACTTTGAATTGTAACTTTACAATGGTAACTTTTTTTAAAAAAATTGTAACTTTATTAACAGAATCTACAATGGACTATAGATAAAGTTACAATTCAAAGTTACAGTGGTACTGAAAAAAAATGACTTATGGCCAATTTTCATACGTATGACCATTGTAGCATCCACACGGTCACATGATCAAAATTCAGACACTTGGCAACTGACTCCTGGAGTCATGTAATCACCTTTCTGACAGGCAAAGTCAATGGAGAAGCCAAATTCACTTAGCCACCATGTCATTAACTTAACCAGTGTAGCAACTGTGGCAAGAAAAGTCGTAAAATGGGACAAAACTCACTTAACAAATGTTTCACTTAGCAACAGACCATTTTGGGCTCAATTGTCATCATAAGTCGAGGACTATCTGTACTTAATTTTGAGTGTAGTTCTGGAGCTTGCAATTAGCTCTTGGAAGAGAAATTTGCAGGCTTATGACAAAGTCCAGGACCAGGAGTGTACTTCTTCACTTGGGATATATTTAAATCTGAATTATTATTTTATATGGCAGGTTTTGGATCCAAATATGGACCTTCGGACCGTCAAGCATTTCATATGGAAAAGTGGGGGTGACTTGACCCTTCACTACCGACAGAAGTCAACGTGAACTATCTGGTGGAACCCAACTGGTTATTAACTAATTTGAGCTTCCCGTGCTGGATCCGGCTTAGTACTCTAGAAGCCCACCTAAATGCTAAGATCTGACACTTTTAACGACTCAGTGCAGACAGAATCTACTTGAAGTGACTAATAAATCTGTAACATAGAGGAAATTGGTATGACATAAACTCAAAAGTTGTCTGTAGCAAGGTGTCAAGCAAGAGTGATATAAGAAGCCCTTGAGGGGTTCCTGTTAAGGTGCCTACAGAGACAAGGTGTCCCAGCGCAGGTATCTGTGCCCGTTCTTCCTTTATTTCCAAAATGATCATCCTTTATTCACTCAAGCTTGCTATGAAATTTTTTTCAGTCCTGCTGCTAACTCATTTTCAGATTTTTTTTTTTTTAGGGGAGAAAAAAACCTCTGCATGTACTGTATTTTGCTAATACATTCCACGTAGTGAATTTTGACCACTATTTCAGATAAGTCTACTTACCGTGCAACAGATTACTCTTCTTGAACAGTGTCTGTAGTCTAGGCTGGAGAGGCTAATGTCCTTGCTGATGAGCATCTTTCATCTGTGATTTTTCTAGGAAAACATTTTGATACTGACTCAAGAATCAGTAGGCTGTGTTATTACAGGGTCAGTTCAATGTGTGAACATCACAGTGAATTCATTCAGCATCTTTATAGAAATACGCAATTTCCATTGTGCTAGAAAGTGGCATCCTGGTTCCATAGGATCATATTTGACATTTGGCAGAAAACTTGATCTGTGTGATAGCAAAAAAAGGTTTTCCTTGAATTGTTTTGTTACGTATTTTTGTTGATGATGTAAGCTGTACCACAAGCTTTGCCTAGCTTTGCTTTTTATTTTGCAGTCTCAAAAAAATAAACACGTGACAGTCCTTTCATGTTTGATTTGTACTCAAGTAAGAGTCTAATTTGTTACAGAAAGTGGGAGGAAGCGCCCCAGTGGCTAAAGAAGAAAAAACTGAATTTGTTTTAATTGAGCGTTCTGATAATAGTGTAACAGTTTTGATTTGAAACAGGAGCATAAATGCCTTTTTAAAACAGAGTGATAAATCTGGATCCTTTCTTTCCTTTTCTTCCTGAAATTAACATTTTCCCCTTCCTGATGAAAGTTGGATTTAGATTGTGCCCATTACTGGAGATTTATTTGAAGTGTAGGTGCATAAGGAAGAAAACTTGGTTCTGGATTTGTTTTTGCAGTGCGTGAGGTGCTTGTACACTCCCCATATAAGTAGAGAGGAGCAAGGAGTGGACATTTGATTTAACAGTCCTGTTGGGGCTGGACATGAATTATACAAATCAGTAAAAATGATATAGGATGTTGTTTTATTGACTAATAATAGGATATCTTTTGAGCTATTCAGCTGTCTTTTTCTGAGCATTTTTCTTTCAGAAGAGAATAATTTTTCTACTGACTGTTGCAGGGGAAATCACAGCTGCTTTCAGGTATTTTTTTTTCCCGTTTGTATTGTGTGGTGTGTAACCACATAATATTTATTTAGACATTGCAAGATTCTCAGTGTGACTGTGGTGCTGGAGTTAGGCATGTTTGGGTTGGCCACGTGTGCTCCAGCTAACTTAAGTTGTTGAATGAAGATCTGATTTGAAAGGATGCTTGCACAGGTCTTTTATACCTTAAGCCTCTTACTTTGTGTAAATTTCATCTTTATGTACAGAAGTGTAGTTTGCCACATCTGTGCAACATTGCAGTTGAGTGAAGTAGGTTAATTCATTGATTAAAGCTAACTGTAACTTGTCCGGAATTATAATCCTTATAAATATGTAATTCGAATTTCATACCCTCCACATTGCCACCAAAAGTAATTTTAACTCTGTTCTCCTGTTTTATTTTTAAAATCAGCCAAGATTTCAGTTTTATTTCCTACACCCAGAAGGAACCAATTTCAGAAAGATTAGCAGATGGCCTGCCAATGCCAAAAGAATAAATATGTACTTCACAATTGTATAGAAGTAATAATAAAAAAATCTTTAGCTAAAATTTTAAGATGCGTGGGGTGTTTCCTTTTAAAAGTGTTGGTTTCACAGTTCCAAAAAGCAGAATGTGTAAGATCTACTGTATGAAAATGTTTTCAACTTTCAGTGTAACTAAAAGTATTCATTGGGCATAGGTAAAGGTTCCCCTCGCATGTATGTGCTAGTCATTCCTGACTCTAGGAGGCGGTGTGCTCATCTCGGTTTCAAAGCCAAAGAGCCAGCCCTGTCCGAAGACATCTCCGTGGTCATGCGGCTGGCATGACTAAACACCAGAGGCGCACAGAGCGCTGTTACTTTCCTTCCAAAGGTGGTCCCTATTTTTCTACTTGCATTTTTTACGTGCTTTTGAACTGCTAGGTTGGCAGAAGCTGGGACAAGTAACGGGAGCTCACTCCGTTACGCGGCACTAGGGATTTGAATCATTGAACTGTCGACCTTTCAATCTGCAAGCTCAGCGTCTTAGCCACTGAACCATAATCCGATGCGTTTTTAAGAACACTCCACATTTTCATGAAAGTGTCTCCTTGGGGCATGTTTAACAAAATTGGACTCTGCTACTTTCTTCAATTAAAATGTAAGTGCAAAGTACAACATGAGCATAGGTCAATGGCTGCTACTTCTTGACATCTCATCTTTCTGTGCTTGGCAGAACCCTGTGAAAATGTTTGGAGAACCCTTGAGAGCAGGGTGCTTATAAAATAGCCGTACGACAGACGAAAGAAGCTCTTGTCCAGATGGCTTACTGGCATGGGCTTCACAGCTGTGAACAGTGTTCCCCCTATTCACATGGAACACACTGTTATGGCTGCCAGTTGGTTTCTGGGCATAATTGCTCCTTTATTTAAAAAACCATAAACTGCAGGAGGCCAAGACAGTTGAAGAACCAGCTCCCGTAAGTCTCTGCATAGATTAAGATGACATTTTTTTAACCCCCCAAAATCCCCAGCCAATGTGCTAGGAGTTGAAGTCTCCCTATCCCAAAGCTGCTGAAATTGAGAAAAGCTGCTCTAAGATACCACTGTCTTTTCAAGCGGTCTGTGCTATTAATCGGTTGATAGGACTTTGAGGTAGGGATTTTAGTATGTCGGTGTCCCTCCTGGACACTAGGTTTAAGCGAATGGTACTTTATTTTGTTCAGTTTGCCTTTATATGGGCCTGCTGTTGTCAAACCTCTGACTTAGGACTGGTTTCACAAGATATTTAAGACAATACACATGCCACTGTAAATCATTGCAAGACTTTAGTAGCTGACAACGTACCAAGTTAAAGAAATTCTAAAAACAACAATAAAATGGCTTCAGGTTAGAATAAATCTCTCTTAAAACACAGATGGGCAACTTTCGCAATCTTTAAAAATAACTAAATAAATTTCAGAAACAACCAACAGAAAATGATCCTTGAAAGCCCATTCCTGCATGTAGGTCACTGATTCTCAACCTTCACCACTTTTAAGATGCAGGGACTTCCAACTCCAAGAAATCTCCAGCCGGTCTGTCGGCTCGGGAATGCTGGAAATTAGAAGTCCATACTTCTTAAAGTGGCTGACGTTGAGAAACACTTGATTTAGTGTTACCAATTTGCTCCATTATTCATATTAGAAGCGATCTTGCTCACTTTCCACATCAGCAGAAAAGAATGCTTCCATTTTAAGAGGCACCACTGCATTACAAGATGGCTTGGTAGCATGCACCTCAGATTAAATATTGATTTAGTGCCATTGTACTAACACCTCTCACCAGACATAAGGTAGCTTGACAGTAATTGGCCAGGCCTCTGGCACAGCATGAAGCAACAACTCGTAATTTAGAACAGGCATTTAAAAATCCTACATTGCTAGTGTCCTTTGATTCTTCAGCTACTATTCCAAGAGAGTTTTCATGGGGTTGCATATAAACCTTCTGCAGCAGTGAATAATGATTATAGCTCTCTAGGGTGAAACGTAAAACAGAGGTCAGGGGAAATTCCCAGCCCAATATACCTACATAATGAGACTGCGTTCTTTTACACGTGGGCACCACTCTTACTGAAACCCAAACCGTCCCATTCATGGAATCTGCTGGGGTCAGAGAAAGAAGCATACTTCTCTTGAGGTCTTAATTCTGTTCGTGCGTTTCAGGAAGCCTTGGGTGTAGGGCAGAGACTCAAATGGATCAAAGAGGATTAAACGGGTTGATTTTTATTACGGGTGAGATGGGATTTTAGAGTAAAAGATCATGGTATTCTTCCTATTAAAATTCTAAGTTAAATTTTTTCAAATAAAATAATCTCAAATCAATGGGATAGGACACAGAGGTAACAGAAACAATTACATTTGCAAACTCCCCCCCTCCCCCCAATTTAAAAGCCTTACCTTAAGGCAGGGATGAGCAACTATGGCAATCATAAAACATGTGCAACTCCCAGAATTCCTGAGCCAGCTGGGTCAGGAATTCTGGGAGTTGGAAGTCCACACCTACTATAAGGAGTTTTCCTGCATTTCTTATCAGCTGCAGTTGGCTTACCGTAAGGGAGGAGTGGGCAACTATGGGATCTTTACGACATGTAGACTTCAACTCCCAAAATTGCTGAGCCACTTGGCTCAGGAATTCTGGGAGTTGAAGTAGAAGTTTTCCAAGGGGGGGGGTGGACTTGGGAAGCAAATATAGAGCAAAACAGGTACACTAAGCCAGAGAGGCTTAAGGCACCTCTTTTAAGCTTTAACAACTCAAAAAACAGTCTCAAAGGCCCCCATCAATTCCTACCTGCCCCCTCTGGTAGTGCTATGGTGCAGCTGATATTGCTCACAGAGCCCTTCCTTTTTTAAAATGTATGAGCAGCTAGAGACAGGAAGCTCTTTTTTTAAAAAAAAAAAAAAGAGGAGGAAGAATTCTTCTTTCTGAACTCCCTATCATTAGTGTTGCCACTAAGCAGAACTAACATGGGCATACAGGCCCCAGAGTCAATAGTGTGATTGAAGGAAGCTGAATTTACTGAGATTCAGAAATCAATCAAATGTTTCTGCAGCACGTAAAACCGGGGCTTTCCGGTGCCAACAGCTTCAAAGCCCAAAGGTGAAATATGTCCTCTGAAAAGCTTAGTTAGGCCTCTTTGGATTCATTGATCAATTCCTGGGCACTTTTGTCACTGCTGTCTGTTTTGGGTGGCATGGCGGTCTCAACCCCAACACTGAGGTGTTCAACAGTTTCCTGAGCATCAGCATCCAGTCCAGATGGTGTATCTGGAGTCACGTCCATAGGAAGAGCTGGCGGAGGAGACATGGAAAACTTTCCCTCGAGGAATTCGGGATGGCAGCTCTTGTCTGCTTGAAGAGATCCCAATTCTTCTGAGAACGGAAGAGAAGCCTGGTCTAAAAAAAAGAAAACACACACACACACAAACAAATGTTTATAGTACAGGTAGTCCTCGACTTACAACAAAGTTCATTTGGTGACCATTCGAAGTTACAATGGCACTTGAAAGAAGTGGCTTATGACATTTTTCACAGTCACACAATCGTTTTAGCATCCCCAGTGTTCACATGATCAAAATTCATATGTTTGGCAACTGACCCACATTTATGACGGTTGCAGTGTCCCTGGGTGTCCTGGGATCATCTTTTGCAGCCTTCCAACAAGCAAAGTCAATGGGGAAGCCAGATTCACTTAACAACCACGTTACTACTGTTACAGGTAGCCCTCAAATCACGACCACAGCTGGGCCTAGAATTTCTGTTGCTAACTGAGACATTTGTTCAGTGAATTTTGTCCCATTTTATGACCTTTCTTGCCACAGTTGTAAAGTGAGTCACTGCAGTTGTTAGTGACATGGTTGTTAAATGAAACTGGCTTCCTCATTGACTTTGCTTGCCAGAAGGTTGCAAAAGCTGTACACATGACCCCAGGACAACTTGGCAACTGTCATAAATATGAGTCAGTTGCCAAGCATCTTGAGATCTTGAAATGCTGCAATGGTCATTAAACAAAGTGTTTCTAATTAGAGAACTCCCTGTATTTTGACTGAGAACTCATCTCAGCCCTGTATGAAGATACATATGACTAGCCAATGAAGCTTAGCCGGCATAATTCTTAATAAAGTTTATAAAGTTGTTCAGATACAAGATTATCTTGAATTAACCATGTTTCCCTGAACATAAGACCCAACTGGAAAATAAGCCCTAGCATGATTTTTCAGGATGCTCGTAATATAAGCTCTACCCCAAAAATAAGCCCCAGTTAAGATCGTCAGCAGATGGAGGCGTTTAGTACTGTATTTACCCCCAAAATAAGACCTAACTGAAAAATAAGCCATAATGTGTCTTTTGGAGCAAAAATTAATATAAGACCCGGTCTTATTTTGGGGGAAACAGAGTACTAAAATTACAGCCTTTGGCAGACAGTGGCGGATTTGGCTAAAAAAACTAGCAGTAGTATCTGTAGTTACTATTTAGATAGGAGAGCACCAAGAAATCCTAGCCCAGTAAGGTAAGGCAGACTGTGGATTTGATAAAAAATACTATGAAAAAGTAATGAAAAACCACTTCTATATTGCTAAGAAATGCATAAACATGAGTTGAGCTTGAAGGAGATGTGGGGTTTTTTTTAGATAGTCAACTCTTACAACGATCTTTTTAATGACTATTCAAAGTTACAATGGTACTGAAAAAAATGATTTACAACCCGATACTCTCAACCATTGCTGGGATTAAAATTTGGGCACTTGGCAACTGGCATGTATTTATGGTAGTTGTAGCATCCCAGGGTCCTGGGATCACCATTTGTGACCTTCCCAGCCAGCTTTCAACGAGCAAAGTCAACAGGGAATCCAGATCCACTTAACAACCCTGTGATTCACTTAACAAATGTAGTGATTTGTTAAACCATCACAGTAAAAAATTGGAGGCAACTCACTTAACAACTACTTTCCTTAAACAATAGGAATTCTGGTCCCAACTCTAATCGTTAAGACTACGTGTATTTTAGACGTGCCAGGAATCCTAATTCTCTTTACTAGCCGATGTGATTATTTCTAGGTGAGGTGTGGTTATTTGATTTTTATACAACTCTAATCATACAACTCCCATGTCATTTTCACTACAATATTTATATTTATATTAAGAACGTTCACGTGCGAGAAATAAAAGCAGAAATAACAAATAAATCACCCCAATGATAAAGCCCAGGTAGCATGGCCCATCCTCCTTTTATCTTTTCAGGCCGAACAGCTTCCAACTGCTTACCAAAATATGAAGGAGTTTCACTATATGTGGATAAGCTTCCAGAAGCTTCCAGAACATCTGATAAGGTGAAAGACGGAGAGGAAGGCACGTGGGCTGTTTTTACTAAATCAATTAATTCAGGAAAAGAAGCTCCGGACATATCTATAAAATCTGCAGGGAGAAGAAAAAAAACGAAAGGAAAGAAAAAAAATACACCTGACAAAACCATCAGATAAGCTAAACAGAACCAAAACCATTTTAACAGCACAGACAACATTCCGCCTTCCTCTTTGATAGAACTGCACTGAACATCAGGGAGATGCCCTGCTAACGCCTTCATTCCTTTTGGCTTGTACCAGTGGTGGGTTGCTCCTGGTTCGCAAGAATCGGTAGTTAAAAATTTTAATAGTTCGGAGAACCGGTAATAAGATTGACTGGCCACGCCCTCAAACCGGTTCCAAGCCCAGTCACCGGTCACTTACCCCGCCCACTGTCATTGCCCGCATGCAGCCCTGGGACTCTGCCCTTTGCCAGCCAGGAGCGCTGCCACCAGTCGCTCCCGTGCACCAGGTTGCCTACCTGCCTCATCACCGCCACCATGAGGAAAGGCCCTGAAGTTCCGCTACCTGGGATCGACGTGGGCTGCCGCAGGGAGAAGCCAGGTATGGCTGGCTGGACGCTGCCTGGAGCTGAGCTCGAGGATGGCAGGAGGAGGAACGTTGCCTCTTAGCTGGCACCACCGAGAGATAAGCCATCCGCCCCAGACACATGGGAGCAGAGCAGAAGGCGAAACTTGCCCCAGAGGCCGCCATCCCCGCAATGCACCCACGGCGCCAAACACGAGTAGCCTGGGCGCGCGGGGCCCAGCATCCCCACGAACTTCCTAGGGCCCTGGGTCTACCTGCGAGGCCCGTTGTGCGGAACCCGCGGGGCAAAGATGGCGAGTTTTCCACGGGGGCTTCCCGGGCTCTGACCGGATTGGAGAGTCAGCAGAGGGCACGAGATGCGCACCACATTTCCTCTGCAGGGCCGAGCCAAGTTTGAAAAAGTTCCCCGCCAGCGCCGGACGGGGTCCGGTGGCTGCAGTGGAGGTGATGGCGTCCGGGCAGATCCAACAGGTGAGAGCACAGGAGGCGCCATGCAGGTGCGCCTTTGCAAAGTGGCCTCACAACTGGCGCCTCCTTTCCCCACCCGGGGCTGCTGTGCCTACACCGCCAGGGAACCGGCAGAGGGAGTGGAGAGGGTGAGCGCTGGGGAGGCGTCCTATCCAACTGGGCTTTTGCAAAGCCAGGCACGAGTTGGGGATTCCGATACTCCACGCGCGTTTTGTGTGGCTCGCGGGGAGTGGGTGGGAATCCGAGCCTGTGGATTGGTGTGATTGGGGTGGGGAGCCAGGATCTCCAATGACTGGGACTTCCAGGGGATGCCCCTGGCTTTGCAGCAGAGGGGTCTTTAAACCTGCCTTATCTGCATTCCTTTTCTTTGCAAAGATCCCTCCCCCCCCCCCCCCCCCCAAAAAGGACAGGTTGCCCAAACCTCCGAGGAGGTTGTAGGGGGAAAAAATCCCTTTAAATGCTGCTGGCGATCCCAGCAGATTTGCCTGATTGTCAGAAGCTTCTAAAAGCATGTTTTCTGCAACCTCTTAAAGTTGTAGAAAAAATGCTTTTAAAAGTAAAAGTAAAAAAAAAAAAAAGTTGGCCAAGCCCACCCAGTCACATTACCCCCCAAGCCACGCCCACAAAATAAGCCACGCCTACAGAATCGGTAGTAAAAAAATTTAGAACCCACCCCTGGCTTGTACAAATAAGTGTGGGCCGCCCTGGTTTAGCATACACAGTAAGTGTGTAAGTATGACCGACTTAGGAGTCTTCTGGAACCATGTTACTCTTGCTGTACCAAAATAAGAGTGAGGAGGACTGATTTCATACATCTCAGACCTGGTTGGAAGATGCTAGAAAATTCTCAGTCGTTAAAGGGGACGTGGGTGTGAAGATGTAGAGGAAAGGGTTTTGCAAGGAAAAGAATCTGAAAGCTGACCAAATGAGCTTTTGGGGTGGTAATGTTCCCGCTGCATCTTGCACACATATTTGTTCTCTGCAGGAAAAATATCTTGTACATTTGTCTAGTCGAGGGGTGTCAAACTGGATTTCTTTGAGAGCCAGATCAACATTGTATTTCTCAGCAGGCCAGGGGAGGGGGGGGGGGGGGGGAGACCCGGGGGGGCGGGAGATGGGACGGAAGTGTCCTGCAGAATCGTGCCAGCTAAAATAGGGGGGTGGGCGCGTGGTCCTCTGTACCTCATTTTTGGCCTCCATGGCTTCCTGCAGCACTCTGCCGGCCGAAAACAGCCCATGTTTTCAGCCGGCAGAGTGCTGCAGGAAGCCATGGAGCCCAAAAATGAAACGCAGAGGGCCACGCGCCCACCCCCACCCCTCTATTTTGGCTGGCACTTCCGTCCCATCTCCCCCCAACCTGCAGGGAGGGGGGGAGGGCACACATAGCCAGTTTTAACCGGCAGAGGCACCGAGGGCCTGTCCTTTGATATTTCCAGGCCAGCCCCGTGGGGCGGATTTAAGCATCCCACGGGCCGGATTTGGTGGCGGGCCTTGAGTTTGACACCCCTGGTCTAGTCAGAGGCCAACAAATTCAACTCGTATATCTGCAGATGTTACCCTTCTCAAGTGCTTTGTCCAACTTGATATCCTTTTGAGGTGCTGGGCTGCAACTCCCATAAATAAGATAAATAAAATAAATAAATAAGATAAATAAAATAAGAGCCTTGGTAGTACAGGGATTTAAGGCACCCTGTTATTAAGCTTATTAAGACCAGCTGCCTGCAATTACTGCAGGGTTCGAATCTCGCCAAGGCTCAAGGTTGACTCAGCCTTCCATCCTTTCTAAGGTGGGTGAAATGAGGACCCAGTTTGTGGGGGCAATAAGCTGACTTTGTATAAAATATACAAAAGTATGAAGGCTATTGCTTAATGCATTGTAAGCCGCCCTGAGTCTCCGGAGAAGGGCGGCATATAAATCAAATTTAAAAAAAAAAAAAATGTCAGCACAGATAGGAAAATTAAAAAAAGGAGAGATATTGAATTACCTGGATCCATGACTCTCTGGACAGGAGGAGGAGGAGCAGGAAGGTGCAGGGAATTTTCTAATGAACAGGCAGTCACACTTTGATTGGAGATGTAACCCAAACTCTCGGTTTCTTCAGTTTGGTGGTTAGGTGCCATCAAGGAAGCCTAAAAAAAAAGAATCCATTTTGACTGCCTGTGACTTTACCCCACTGCCATTTAGATGCCTCCTAGGAAGCTTCTTTTTCTGCTGAACAACACAGGTGATGGCTGAGTTCACCGATTATTCTAAACCAGGGGTCGGCAATCTTAAACACTCAAGGAGCCACAAAGATCCTTTTTCCTCTACCTGCCCTAACTGAAAGCCCTATCAATTGTGGAACTGACCAGCAACAGGGAGCCGCAGCAGAGGGATGAAAGAGCCACATGGGGCCCCAGAGCCATGGGTTGCTGACCCCTGTTCTAAACCATAACATGATTTCTTCAGGTTCAATTTGGCCAATCAAATGCATTGTTGATTAGATTTTACATCCTGCCTTTCGCTCAGGAACTCTTCACAATGTTGGATGGAGCACTCCTGTTTTTCTCCACAAAAACCCTGCGAGGCCGGCTGGACTGAATAAGAGGGCAACTGGCCCAGAGTTCTCAGGGAATCCCATATTTGTCTGAAGAATTGAACTTAAGTCTCCAAGTTCCTAGTCCATCATCTTAACCTTCATACTGGACTAACCTATATTTAAGAAATTAGTGTCTTAAAATGACAGTACAGGTAGTTCTCTATTTATGACCACAATTGAGCCCAAATTTTCTGTTGTGAGGCATTTGTTAAATGAGCTTTGCCCCATTTTACGACCTTTCTTGCCACATTTGTCAAGTGAATCCCTGAAGTTGCAAAGTCACATGTGCATGCGTGGGAGGGCAGGGCGCATTGAATTATGGATGTGGGCACAGGCACCCGTGACCTCCCATGCTCCCCCCAGTTTTGGCACACGACGGCAAAAAGGTTAGCCATCTCTGAAATAAGATATCAGAAAGTTAATGCATCCATCTTATGCCACAGTTCTTTGGCTACCAACCTCCACATTTCACCAGAAAGAACCTGGAGGAGTTAAGAAACTGCTAAAAAAAAAAAACCTGAAGGAAGGGGTGGCAGCGGGGTGGGGGAGGGCTGTGATACCCCCTCTAGCTATAAATTTGCTCACAAGGTGTGCAGAGTTAACTAAGCTGTGTCCAGAATGAAACCTCCTTACCTCCATGTAGCCATTAGCTGGGGATTCGGGGGGTGCGTCTCCAGAGGGCGAAGACAAGGAAGTCTCAGCTGCTCTCTTGGGGGTAGCGGCTTGTGTGGGAATTCGGTGAAGGTAGCCGTATCCAATACCACATCCTAAACTGCACAAGAAAGCAAATGTTGGAAATAGGGTGCACACCTATATTTTTTAAAAACATAATGGGGGGAGCTGCAAACAGAAACCCCACTATTAAGGGAAACTCTACTTTCTTCGTCTTCACGTTTTTATTAGTTTATCTGACTATAAAATACAAAGGAAAATGAAAATAATGGAAAACGAGGGGGAGAAAAAGGGGGAAAAGGGAAAATGTGGGGTAGAAGGGAAAAAGAAAACAAAAAAGGCTTTTTTAGCACAATGGAAAATAATATTACAGCCTCAACTTTTTCCTTTTGCACAATAATATGTGCAGGTAGTCCTCAACCTGCAACAGTTCGTTTAGTGACCATTCAAAGTTACAACAGCAGTGGAAAAAAATGATTTAAGACTGTTTTTTGCACTTACGACCTTTGCAGCATCCCCAAGGTCATGTGATCAAAATCCAGATGCATGGCAACTGGTTCATATTTATGACGGTTGCAGTGTCCCGGGGTTATGTGATCCCATTTTGTGACTTTCTGACAAGCAAAATCACTGGGGAAGCCAGATTCACTTAACGGTCGTGTTACTAACTTAACAATTGTAGTGATTCACTTAACAACTATGGCAAGAAAAGTCATAAAATGGGGCAAATTCACTTCACAAATGTTTCACTCAGCAACAGAAATTTGGGACTCTGTTCTGGTCGTTAAGTCAAGGACTACCTATACCAGTGATGGCTAACCTTTTTGCCATCGCGTGCCAGGAGAGGGGGGGGGGGGGGTCGCGCATGCACGTGCCCACACGCATGTGCACGCAATCCTACCCACCCCCGCTCCTGGCACATGATGGCCTGGTAGGCCCATTTTTCTTTCTTACTGATTCCAGATCCTTTCTATGCATCTGGGAAGGTCGAAAACAGCCTTTCCCACTCCCTCAGAGGCCCTACGGAGGCTGAAAAGGCCTATTTCCAAACTCTCAGTGGGACAGGAAGTGATGTTTTTTGCTGTCCCCAGCGTCCAGAACCTCTCTAGGAGTCTCTAGGAGCCTCTCTAGGAGTCTCTTGAGGCTGGGGACAGAAAAAAATTTCACTTCCTGTCCCACCGGGAGTCGGGAAATGGGCCCTTTCAGCCTCCGTAGGGCCTCTGAGGGAGTGGGAAAGGCTGTTTTCGACCTTCCCAGATGCATAGAAAGGATCTGGAGCCAGTAAGAAAGAAAAACGGGCCTTCCCCACCCCCCACCAGGCCCTCCAGAGGCAGGAAACAGCCTGTTTCCCTACTTCTGGTGGGCCCAGAAGGCCCAAAAATCAGCTTCCGGCACGCACATGCGCCCCAGAGCTGAGCTGGCATGCCCACTAATATGGCTCCGCGTGCCACCTGTGGCACACATGCCATAGGTTCACCATCACGGACCTATACTAATTAGCCATTTCTACAACAACAACAACAAATCTATCCAATCAGCAAAACCAAAATCAAAGTTTCATATCTATTTTTTTTGCAATCACAAGCACAAAATCCAGAAGCAGTTTCCAAATGAAAGCAAAACTAGGTATGTTCTTTTCTCTGAATAAAGCAATCAGTTTAACCATCTCTACTTTTTTCCTCCTTGCTGTGGGAAAACTCAACTTTTGAGTGATCGCAAAGCACTACTAAATCTTCACCCCACAGACCAGTGATGGCTAACCTTTTTGCCGTTGCGTGCCAAACCGGGGGGAGCATGGGAGGTTGCGGGTGCCTATGCCCACATCCATAATTCAATGCGCCCTGCCCTCCCACACATGCGCACGTAACCCCCCGCACACACTTCCCCTGCTTTTGACACCTGATGGCACGGTGGGCCCAGTAGGCCCATTTTTCCCTCTCCCATGGCTCCAGAGGCTTTCTAGGAGCCTGCGGAGGGCAAAATCAGCCTTCCCCATCCCCCCAGAGGCCTTCCGGAGGCTGGAAACAGCCAGTTTCCCGACTTCCGGTGGGACCGGAAGGCCTGAAAATCAGTTGGCTGGTGCGCGCATGCGCACTAGAGCTGAGCTAGAGCAACACTTGCGTGCCGACCAATATGGCTCTGCATGCCACCTGTGGCACGCGTGCCATAGGTTCGCCATCACAGCTATAGACTAAAAGGAAAAAAGTAAAGCCTCCCTCTAAACCCTTGCAGGAAAAAAAGGAGGGAGGACTGAAGAACTGCCCCCTTCCCAACCAATCAATCAATCAGGACAGAACTGGAAGGGGCCTTGGAGGTCTTCCAGTCCAACCCCCTGCTCAAGCAGGAGACCCTATACCCATGATGGTGAACCTATGGTATGCATGCCACAGGTGGCACGCAGCACACTCTTTGTGGGCATGTGAGCCATCACCCCAGTTCAGCTCAGCCGCGCATGTGCGCATGCCTCTCACCAGCCAGCTAGTTGTTGGGTCTCTGCCACGCATTCGCGGGGGGGGCATGCAGGGGGTTGCACGTGCATGCGTGGCCCGCGTGCGAGGGAGAGCGCGAGCATGTGCAGGGTGGCATGGTGCGTGTGGGACGCTTGCATTTGGGGGTTTGGCGCTTTGGGCACTCAGTCTGGAAAAGGTTAGCCATCACTGCCCTATACCATTCAGAGACAAATGGTTGTCCAATCTCTTCCTAAAAGTTTCCACCGTTGGAGCACCCACAACTTCTGAAGGCAACTTATTCCACTGCTTAAGAAATTTCTCCTTAGTTCCAGATTGCTTCTCTCCTTAATTAGTTTCCATCTGTTGCTTCTTGTCTTGCCTTCAGGTGCTTTGGAGAATAGGTTGACCCCCCTCGTCTCTGTGACAGACCCCCCAATACTGGAAGACTGCTATCATGTCACCCCTGGTCCTTCTTTTCTCTAAACTGGCCATACCCAGTTCCTGCAACTGTTCTTCTTATATTTTAGTCTCCAGGCCTTTAATCGTCTTAGTTGCTCTTCTCTGCACTTTTTCCAAAATCCCAACATCTTTTTTTTTTTTAATTTGATTTCTATGCCGCCCTTCTCCGGAGATTCAGGGCGGCTTACAATGTGCTAAGCAATAGCCTTCATACTTTTGTATATTTATACAAAGTCAGCTTGTTGCCCCCACAAACTGGGTCCTCAATTTACCTACCTTAGAAAGGATGGAAGGCTGAGACAACCTTGAGCCTGGTGGGATTCGAACTTGTAGTAATTGCAGGCAGCTGAATGTTAATAACAGGCTGTTAGTCTGCTGCACCACCAGGCTCTAGTGTGGTGTGGTTTTTTGTAGTGTGGTGACCAAAACTGGATGTAGTATTCCAGGTGTGGGCCTACTAAGGCTTTATAAAACGGTACTAATACTTCACGTGATTTTGATTCTATATTACATTTCTACATGAAACTAAAAAAGTGGTTTTCTAACATGCCATAACGAAACCCAGCTACCAGCAGGAGAGAAAGATTCTGCCTATGCATGGCATACCTATTGAAGCATTGTGCTGATGTCAAAGAAGGAAGAATGGAACAGAAGGGAGTCGTGGTGGTTTTTTTGTGTACTTAAGGCAGACTGTAAGGAGAAAATCCCAACTCAACCATCCCACCCCAAAGAAAACTTCACAGATTATTCCCAAAATGTATTATGACCTTCCAGCGTCCCATGGTCACGTGATCAAAATTCAGACCCTAACTCATGGGTTATTATGACGGTTGCAGTATCTCCCGGGATCACATGACCCCCTTTTGCAACCTTCTGACAAGCAAAGTCAGTGGGGAAGCCCGATTCACTTAACAGCCGTGTGACTAACTTGACAACTGCAGTGATTCCATTAATGAGAATCGTGGCAAGGAAGGTCGTAAAACACCACACAACTCTCTTAACAACTGCCTGGCTTAGCAACAGAAATTTGGGCTCAATTTGCCGTTGGGCTCAATTTGCCGTTACAAGTCGAGGACTACCTCTACCGTGGTATCATTGGACCCAGGATATTTTAAGGATAAAAAGCAAATATGCACTAGGACAGGGGTCTCCAGCTTTGCCAACTTTAAGCCTGGCTGTTCTGCCTCAGGTATGGATCCCAAAGAACGTAGCACACGCAAAGTCCATTCAAACCTTAGTTTACTGAATAAACCAGTCTTTTACAACAGCTGTTAATTAACTGCATTAACAGCCACCAAGAATTCAAAGAAGAATAACTGAAAGCTTACTATGGTTGGCAGAATGCCCAGAAGCAATTTGCAGGAAGCTGATCAGATAAGCAAGACAAGAAGGTATGTGAATGAAGTTGTTCCCTGCAAATTGCTTCAGTTGGCATTCCTCCTTAAATAGGCTAAGGGAGTGGCCAATTAGCCCCAAGACTTACTCTCGAGGAGACCTCCTCGTGAGGAGCCACTCCTGCCCTTTGGCAGCTCTGCACGCCCATGCATCGAGAAGAAGCTTCTCCTCTTTACTTAAGGAAGCTTCTGGAGGTTCTGAAGGCCCTGGCTGAATCCCCGCCTCTGGCACCACATCTTCTCCAGCCTCCTCATTGTCTGACTCGAGTGCCAGCTGCCCAAGCTGCTGGTGCAGCACAACACCAACCTCCTCGCTGTCTGAATCAGCTACTAGCTGCACTGGCCGCTGATGGGCCACAACACTGGCAGACTTCAACTCCCAGAATTCTGGGAGTTGAAGTCCGCCAGGCTTAAAGTTGCCAAAGTTGGAGATCCCTGCACTAGGAGGCCAAGGATCTGCCTGATCTTGCCCACATCCTCACGATTTCTAAAGTCATACCTTCCTTCTCCACCCCAGGCTCCATTGGGGGTTACAAAAACCTCTCGGCAGGAATCCGTTTCCGTGTTATAGACCACTAGCTTCAGAGGCTTTCCCTCATGGGAATCAATCAAGGAGAAGAAATCCTCAGACTGAACAAAAGAGAGATCCATCATTCAGAGTCTGCAGCAACATACCACCCCTTCCCCTTTATACCACCACCAGACATCCAGTTCCTGGAATAAACAGTTAGGGAAGAGAATTTACAGCCTGTTCTTTGATCAGGGAGACACCCCCCCCCAATCAATGGATAGATAAATTGGTTTTCCAACACAATGAAGCAACTAGTCAAGATTTTTGGGGTCCCTTTCAATTCCACTTCTTAAAAGGATAAATCATGGCAACCGTACATTTATTAAAACTGAGACGTTTAGAAGTTACTTGGATGAGTAACAAAATATCTCTGTTTTAATAAAGTTTGGTGCAGTTACCATGGGTTAACCTTTTAAGATACTTTTGGCCTGGATGACTGAACCTTCATTTGCATGTTTCAATTCTAGTTTAAGGATGCTGTGCTCTCCGTGCCATCCTTAAAAAATGCCTCAAAATACAGCAAAATACCATAATGCCAAGTTGTTCAACCTTGCAACTTTAAGATGTCTGGACTTCAATTCCCAGAATTCCCCAGCTAGCATGCTGGCTGGTGAATTCTGGGAGTTGAAGTCTATCCATGCTGGCTAGGAGATGCTGAGGGTTGAAGTCCACTCATCCAGGCTGAGGGATTCTGGGAGTTGAAGTCCAGACATCTTAAACCAATATGTAGCTCATGGCTGAACTGTGGAGTCTTGGTGGTCTCTGAGCTTGGCTGTTTTCTTGCAGACAGTTCATTACCCAAGTAGGTAACTTCAGAAGTTACTTCAGCACCAAGGACTCCGCAGATGACTTAAAGCAGCCAAGTTTGAGAAACACTGCTATAATCGGAGGATTTATTTTTTAAGGTGAAGCCTTCATGGATTGTGGATATGGAGAAAAGAAATCATGCTTTGGGAGCAGAGGGGTGGGAAGGGAAGAACAAAGGAGGGGAGGGCAAACAACCTAAGCAGTATTACATCATAATTCTGCCTCCTCCCCTCCTGAACATCCATCGTGATATCAAATGTATGAAGCAAGTGGAGCTTGCATCATGATGGGACATTGCTATTTTCATGACTTTGATACACAATTTTAAAAAACTTTTTCAGCCCAGAGATTCATTTAGCTAAAAAAAACCCAAATCTTGGAAGCCCTGATCAAGAGGCAAAGTTCTAACAACAGAAAATTAGTTGCATTCAAATCAACGTTTTCCCCCCTCAATCAATCAGAATAGAGCTGGAGGGGACCATGTGGGTCTACTCCAACCCCCTGCTCAAGCAGGAGAACCTATACCCGTGATGGCGAACCTATGACACGCGTGCCACAGGTGGCACGTGGAGTCATATCTTCGGGCACACGAGCCGTTGCCATAGCTCAGCTCCAGCGCACATGCGTGCACCGGCCAGCTGATTTTTGGCTGGCTTCACCTATGCCTTCCCTCCCAGGAGTCTCCATGCAGCCTGTTTTGGATGCCAAGTAAGTACAGGGCTTACCTGTACAGCGGACGAGGGCGTTTTCGGCCTCCGGAGGGTCTCCGAGGGGGTGGGGCATGCCGTTTTCACCCTCCCCAGCCTCCAGGAAAACTTCTGGAACCTGGGGAGGGTGAAAAACGGGCCTACCAGGCCCACTGGATGTTGGGAAACGGGCTGTTTCCAGCCTCCGGAGGGGCTCCGGGGGAGTGGGAAAGGCTGTTTTTGCCCTCCAGAGGCTTCAGGTAGGCCTGCTAGGCTCAAAATGGGACACGGGGGGGGGGATGGGGTGGTCGTGCACCCATGCGCGGGGGGGGGTCAGGGCACGGGGGGCATTGAATTATGATTGTGGGCATGCACACGCGCGACCCTCTCCCACGCTCCCCCACGCTTTTGGCACGCGACGGCAAAAAAGTTAGCCATCATTGCCCTATACACTTTGAGAGAAGTGGCTGTCCAGTCTCTTCTTAAAAACCTCCAGTGAAAAACATCTTAGTCTCAAGTTCCTGGGGACCATTTAAAAAGGTCTGTGAACCAGTTTGACAAATCCCAGCCTAAAGTATTAGGGCCCATGAGAACATCTGCCTGGGAAAGCTGGCTGGGGAATTCTGAGAATTGAAGTCCACAGGTTTTTAAGTTGCCAAGTTTGGACCTTACTGGTTTAGAGGCGAAGGGAAGCCTGAAAAAGCCTGAAAATGCAGCCCCACATGCAATGCTCTCTCTTCCCCACTATGTTTCAGTTAGTTTTGCTTTCTGCGTGAAACTTTCTCAAGCTCTTGGCAGCAAAGGAATGGACCCTGAGACCAACGGAGAGTTTTATGCACAGAAATGCTTCCACAATAAGAAATCAAGCACAGGAGAAGGAAAGGCGAAAGGAACTAAGTGCTGAACAATGCAGAAGCCTAAGAAATATTCACGGCCATCATCATGGATAAAAATCAATTTTAAAAAATAGTAATAAAATAAAATCAATTTTTAAAATTTAAATCAGATTTTTTTTTATTTTTATCAAATTTATTTTAATGAAATGCTTTTGGAGTAAAAATCTGTCTAAAGATAGTTTTCTATTTAAGATTAGTTTATTCAGCCTGAAATGGAGCTTAGTTATGTAGCATGAGGCCATATATTCTGCAATATTGAGATTGTCAGTGAGTCAACAGCAGGTCAGAGGAGGAGCTGCTGCAGGACAGAGATGACAGTTGCTCTTTAAAAATTATTTAAATTGAGTTGATCTAAATCAAGCCTTTTTACTAGTGATTTAAATCGTGATTTAAATCGACTTGATTTAAATCAAACCCACCCTGGCCATCATCACCAAAGACCAATCTCTCCTGACTTCACTTTGGGGTCAGTTATCGCTCTCCTGACTCTTTACCTCATGGAGTATCTGATCCGATCCTATTATATAGTCAGAATGGGGCTTCAGGCCAGCTAAGGCTGCCGGAGAAGCTGGCTCCACATCCTAGACAAGAGAGAAAGATCATGGTTATGGCTATGGACCACGTAACTCAAGCATATTCAACAAAGCCAGTGGGAAAAGCATTTCAATCCAGTGTTTGGTAAACCTTTTTGAGAGGTGGGAGGGTCTCGTCTCCTAGCAACTATCTGCACAAGTTCAGCAGTTTTCTTGGCAAAGTTTGAACCTGGTTTGCTATGGCCTTCTTAGGACTGAGAAGGAAGAACTGGCCAAGATCACAAAACTGATCATGTCTAAGGCAGGGTGAGAATTCACAATTTCCTGGCTTCTAATCTGATTTTATGTATATCCCACCCTTACTTCTGTAAGTAACTCAAGGTGGCTAACATACCATACATAATCCTCCTTCCTCCATCTATTTCCCCCAAAACCATGTAAGGGAGCTGGGCTAGGATGAGTGACTCACCCAGGGTCACCCAGCCAGCTCTCATGGCTATGGGCAGATGAGAACTCAGTGTCTGTCAGTTAGCCTAATGCCTCTTAAACACCACACCAAAGTATTCCAATGAAATCTCATAAGCTATCAGATGTTTTGTGGAAAAAACAACCACTTCTCCTCATTTTGAATACTGTGTGTAATGAAAAAGTTCCCTGTGTTTCTGTTTTCCATTTAAAAAGTTCCACCCTGTATTAAGGATGTGAATGTTTCTATTCTAATTAAGTTTGATTGCATTCTGTAATATGCAACAGATTTTTTTCTTCTGCAAACTGACTTTTTTATTTAATGCAGATTTATACATGGAAATAATTACAGGAATTGCTGCAGAATTTAAAAAAAAAATTATTAACAAATAATTTCTAATTCTATCCAAGACAGAAGCGGCAGAACTGAAGGCACAAAAGGGCAAGACTTGATCAAGCACCAGGAACATCTTCCTAGTGTTCCACCTAAACAAAATAATATCTTCTAATACACTGATTGGCAAAGTAAGCAAATTAGTGTACAAAGTGTTCCTAAAAGGACAGAGATTTGAAAGCTTGTGACTTAAATCAAGAGCAGGTGAACAATTTTCTCAAAAATAATCTTTCTAAGGTAGTCTCCATTTTATGAGTACAGTGGGGATTCAGAATTTGTTGCAAAGTGATGCAGTTGAATCACATTTGTTTTTCCAATGTTTCTTACCATTGTCATTAAATGAATCTGACTTCCCCCACTGCCTTCACTTGTTGGAAACCCCTTGGCAAGGTTGCAAATGGGGATCATGTGACCCTGGAACACTGCAATTGTAATAAATCAATGCTAGTTGCAATTTTGATCATGTGAATGCAAGGCCAGTGCAGTCATGTGAGAACTGGTCTTAGATCACTTTTTTCAGCACTAATGTACCTTCAGTTATTCAAATGAGCAGGTCGTAAGTCAAGGACCACCTGTAAACTATCTAAGTAAAGTTGTCAAGCTAGACTCCTCATAATTCCAATGCAAAGTCCGTGTTTTTTTCTGGAAGCAACTCAGTGGTTTTCCTTCTCGTCCAGCTTAAACTACTGATTTTCTATACTGACCTTGCTTAGTATTCAAGATCAGCCAAGAGCAACTAGATTATTTCTAGGCATTCTGGGAGCTGAAGTCCACAAAGCTTAAAGTTGCTTTGGTTGGGTAACAATGATCCAGAAGTTATAGCTGATACAAAATGCAGCTGTGCTTGTTTATATCTGTGCTCTTGAACTGCACTGGTTGCCAAATCCTTTCTGGATTCAATTGAAAGTGCTGGTAGTTACACTATAAGTCAGAGGTCTGCAACCTTGGCAACTTTTAAGATTTGTGGACTTCAACTCCCAGAATTCCACAGCCAGCAAAGCTGGCTGAGGAATTCTGGGAATTGAAGCCCACAAATCTTAAAGTTGCCAAGGTTGCAGACCTCTGCTTTAAGTAGCTCTCCATGACACAAGGCCAGGTTATTTGCAGGATCACCCTCCCCAGTCATGTCTACCCATCCCCTCACATCTGGAACAAGAGGCTTGCGATGCTACGGACCCCATCCATTTAAGAACCCACCAAAAGAACCCTTCTGGAACCTCGTCACCCACCCCACAGATTATATTAGCCCCCATTTCTGTTGGCCTTTTGAACATCCTTGAAGACTTGGCTAGATCACTGTTCATAGGAGTCGGAGTTTCTGTTTAAGTGTCTGAAGTAGTTTTGTTTGCACTGTACAGGTGGTCCTCAGCTTACAACCAAAATTTATGTTCATGAGAAATTTATTAGGCGAGTTTTGCCCCATTTTACGACTTTTCTTGCCACACTTGTTAAGTGAATCACTGTAGTTGTTTAAATTAGTAACATGTTTAAGTGAATCTGGCTTCCCCATTAACTTTGCTTGTCAGAAGTTCACGAAAGATGATCACATGACTCAGGGACACTGCAGCAGTCATAAATATGAATCAATGTAAAACATTTGACCGTGGAGATGCTGCAACGGTCATAAGTGTGAAAAATGGACATAAGTCACTATTTTCAGTGACGTTATAACTTCGAACACTAACAAACTGTTTTAAGTCAATGACTACCTGTATTTGTTTTGATTTGTTATCATATTCGCTGTCAATTGTCTCTTTCGTGTTTGCAGTGTTTTTTGCTGACTTTCTTCCTATTGTAGTTAGCTGCCCAGAATCACTGATAAATTAAATAAGTAAGTAAATAAAACTGGTTTCATAGGAACTTAAGGAGCCCTCCTAACCTGTCTAACCCTTTGAAGGACCACCTCTCCTTGCTCTTTCAGAGCGGAAAGGCAGGATAGATTATGGGTCCCACCTAAGTAATTGATGGGACATAGAAGCAGGGCCTTCTCTGTAGTGGCTCCCTCCCTTTGGAACATCATTTCCAAGGCAACAAAGTTGGCCTCATCTTTATTTTTTCACAAGGCCCCGAAGGCAGGTTGTCTCAGTAGGTCTGAGGAACTCAGATTGTTTTGGAACTGATCAAGAGGCTTGTTATGATTGTGTTTGTTGCCACCAAAGGGGATCGGGATTTCTGGAATTTTCATATTGTTTTGTCTTTAATGTTATACCCACCCGGAATCATTGTGAGTGGGTCAGTCAGTCAGTCAGTCAGTCAGTCCAGGTCAGTCCAGGTCAGTCCAGGTCAGGTCAGGTCAGTCCAGGTCAGTCCAGGTCAGTCCAGGTCAGGTCAGGTCAGGTCAGGTCAGGTCAGGTCAGGTCAGGTCAGGTCAGTCAGTCAGTCAGTCAGTCAGTCAGTCAGTCAGTCAGTCAAGCCTGCCTGCCTGCCTGCCTGCCTGCCTTTCTATCTATCTATCTATCTATCTATCTATCTATCTATCTATCTATCTATCTATCGGATTTATATGGCCTCCTACTACTCTCAATGGGCAGCCTACAAACAATAAAAAACATCATAAAAATAAAAACAATAACACACAACACACACTCCATAGTGACAAGCAATTAAACCAGCCACTTGATGCGCTCCATCCACTCTGGGTTCCCCAGACCTGTTGGCAAAGGCCACATCTTCAGGATCTTGTGAAAGAGTGTTAAAATGGGGGCCAGTCTAATATCTGAGGGGGATGATGTTCCACAGGGAGGGAGCCACCACGGAGAAGGCCCTTCTTCAGATTAGGAGATGGGACCTGCAACATTCCCTGCATCCCACTCTAGTGGGTCAGGTAGATGCAACTGAAAAAAGATGGTCCTTCAGATAACCTGCCAATATACATTGAAAGAGTCTCTTCTTCCAGCAGTGCCTCTTAGCAGCTAAAATCATTCGGCTGTGATTCGAGATAACAACCAATCAGGACTAGCAGTCACAGAAAATCCAATGCAACACGGAGTTCCACTTTCCTGCTTACCAGCACGTGCCAGACGTGTTCATTGGCGCCTTGGAAACTGCAGAATCGCACACTAGCCCCTAGCAGTCCCTGCCCTCCCCACATATTGCTGGGGATGACCTCCACTTCGCGCACTTTCATTGTTTTTATGTTGTAGACTTCCAGTTTCACAGCTTTCTCAACATTGGCTTTTAGTAGATCTTTCAAGGTGTCGCCTTCTTTATTCTATATGCAGGGAAGAGAGGGAAAAATTAAGGTCTTGTATCTGGACGTGGTAGCAAACACAGAAATAAAAACCTGGAATGGAAGCATCTGTAGCCAGTAAAGGCAGGAAACGACCATTCATTCATTCATTCATTCATTCACTCACTCACTCATTCATTCATTCTAGATGGCCAGCCATCCTTCCAGGCTGGAAAGAAATTTAAACTTTAATTTTACAGTTATTGATGGAAAACAAGTCCCGCTCAACCTACTTCCAGATTAAGTGGAGATTTAGCACTCATTTGGTGACTGTTAAAAGTTACAGTGCCACTGAAAAAAGTGATATATGATTGTTTTTCACATTTATGACCATAGCCATGCCCCCAAAATTCAGATGCTTGGCATCTGGCTCCTATTTATGACAGCTGCACTAAGCTGAGGGTCATGGGATCATCATCTGTCACCTTTCTAGCAAACTTCCAACAAGCAAAGTCAATGGGGGAAGCCAGATTCATTTAATGACCGCATGACATTTACACAACAATTGCAGTGATTTGCTTAACAACTGTGACAAAAAAGGTTGTTAAATTGGGTACAACTCACTTAACAACCATCTTGCTTAGCAACAGAAATTCTGGGCTCCATTGTGGTCGTGAGCTGAGGATCAGCTATTCTGTAAATTGGTGTAAATTTACTGATCAATTTTTTTGGGGGGGTTAGTTAAAGTTAGGATGGAGTGTGGCAACATTAGTATTTATTTTGGCTTGGGAGGTTGATTTTGTTAATGGATTTTGTTTGCGGTTTTAAAAAATTAAGATTAAAATTCTTGGAAATTTGTGATGGCAAATTCAGATGTTTATTCATGCAAACAGAAGTTGCTGCCTTAGAACAGGATCTGCGTAAGAAAAGTCCAACATTTCTGTCCTGCCCTGATATTTTTCTTTTTTTTTTAAATGCAATGCATGAACCTAGGTCATTTTATCAACAAAACTATAATCATGGGCGAAATGTGAAGAAAGCATCTTTTAGCCCAAATACGAAAACATAACTCCTAAGCAAACAGATATGGATAAAAAAGACAATACAGGTAGTCCTCAACTTATAACCATTCATTTAGTGACCGTTCAATGTAACAACAGCACTGAAAAAAGTGACATTCTTCATACTTTGTAGCATCCCCATGTGATCATGTGATCAAACTTCAGACAGTTGCCAACTGTCTCATATTTATGACGGTTGAAGTGTCCTGGGGGGGGCATGTGATCCCCTTTTGCAATCTTCTGACAAGCAAAGTCAACGGCGGAAGACAGATTCGTGTAATAACCGTGCTACTAATTTAACAACCGCAGGGATTCACTTAACAGCTGTGGCAAGAAAAACCGTAAAATGGGGCAAAGCTCACTTAACAAATACCTCAACTTAACAACAGAAATGTTGGGCTCAACTGTGGTCGTAAGTCGAGGACTACCTGTACTCGGATGCCAGACTGCCACGTTGACTAACTGAAATAACAGCTGGAAGTCACCAGCGAGCCTTCTTTCTCTCTCAATTCTGCATGTCTTCGGTCGAGCAGCTTTTAATCTGTTAATGATTAACAATGAGGATTATAGTTGGTCAAATAATGAGAATTGATTTTGGTGACTCAGCAAAGAAGTAAACACCCTCCCTTGTCTTTCCCACAAAGGGAAGACAAAGGGGCAGTTTGATTGTATCAAACAGGTTTGAACACTCAAGAGCTCGAAGATGCCCTCAAGCCAAGATGCAGAGACAGTGCAGAAAGTGTTCTCCTCACATAATAAGATTGGCATTTCAGTAACTTTTACAGGTACTCCCCGACTTACAACTGTTCATTAAGTGACCATTCAAAGTTACAACAGCACTGGAAAAAATGACAACTTTTCCTACATATGACTGTTGGCAGCATCAGTCGTACTTTGGTGATCAGTCATACTTTGGGTGTATTCAGGATAGCCGAAGGGGTCCTGGGAGTGTCATTTCTAACATTCCTAGGGAGCTTCTGACAAGCGAAGTCAAAAAAATCCAGATTTGCTTAATGACCGCATGATTCACTTAGCAACTGCTGTGATTCACATAACAACTATGGCAAAAAAAAAATCATAAAATAGGGCATGACTCATTTAACAGCTGCCTTGGTTAGCAATGGAAATTTTGAAGTCGATTGTGGTCATAAATTGAGAACTACCTGTATTGGAAACTGCTAAAACTAGAGCTCTCCCAAAGAACCCTTAAAAAGTGTTTGTTTCCACTGTATTAATTGTAATAATAAATTAATTATTGAGTTAGGTTTAAAATTGTTTTTATTGGGGGGGGGGGTTTGCCTTGGAGTCAATCCTAGAAGTTTTAATTTCTACAGCATATTTTTTAATTTTCTAAGCCAGAGAGAGTTGGTGAGAAAGAAAACCAGTAAATATAATAATGAAGCATATAAAGAAAAGAAAGTTACGTTAATGATGGGAGAATTTCACTTCAGCTTCTGGTCCAGAGCTATTTCTCATGCCACGATTAAGTCTTTAGAGACAGATCTTTAGAGACAGCCATAAAAACTGGATTGTTTTCTAAGATTTTAAAGAAAGTGGGGAAAAAAGCTCTCACCCAATTCAGCTGCATTTCAATTCCCATTACAGGTAGTCCTCAACTTACAACCATAATTGTGCCCAAAATTTCTGTCGCCAAGTGAGACATTTGTAAAGTGAATTTTGCTCCATTTTACGATCTTTCTTACCACAGTTGTTAAGTGAATCACTGCAGATGTTAAATTAGTAACACGGTGAATCTGGCTTCCCCACTGGTTTTGCTTGTCAGGTCACCAAAGTGGATTATAAGATCCCTGGATACCATAACCGTCATAAATATGAGACAATTGCCAGGCATCTGAATTTTGATCCCGTGATCATGGGGGATGCTGCAACAGTTGTAAGTGTGAAAAGTGGTCTTAAGTCACTTTTTCCAGTGCCATTGTAACGTTGAACAGTCACTAAATGAACTGTCGACCTGTCGAGGATAACCTGTATCTGCTATGAAAACAAGAACTGCAATGCCGGCATCAAATCCTATCACCTGCATGGGGAAGGGACCGAAGAGCTGCAAGCCCAGCTTTTGCTTCCACAAGCTGCATCTGATGGCATGAATGCTTTTCAGTCTCAAAGCTACCAAAAGGGAGGAAGAATCAATGAATTCAGACCTTCCTAAAACCAGGCCACTTATGGTTGCTTATACAGCAACCTCTGCACACAATTTCCCAGCAGGACAGTTTAGAACAAAAGAGTTCTGGCCACCATCTCCAGTTCTGGAAAGTTGATCTAAGAAGGGAACGTGTTTGGTAGATCGGTTCTTCATGTCATATACCCTAAAGCAGGGGTGGGGAACTATGGCCCTTTTATGACTTATGGCTCAGGAATTCTGGGTGTCCACAAGCCATAAAGGGGCCATAATTCCCCACCTCTCCCTAAAGCGACTGGCTAAATTCCTGAAGTTTCTAAGATGCAATTGAATTGGTGATAGGGCGCAAGAGGCAGGCTGCATTTACCAAGGCTGCAATTTGGCCCAAGGACTTCAAGTTGCAAACTCTTGCTTTACATTATTTATACATCCATTCATTCCATATTTGATTTACTATCTGCATTCATGATGTGCTTTACACAATCATGTATCAATATGGCCAGATGGAATAATAGAGCTGGAAGGGACCTTGGAGGTCTTCTAATCTAAACCCGTTCAGGCAGGAAACCCTACATCACTTCAGACAAATGGTTGTCCAATCTCTTCTTGAAAACTTCCAGTGTTGGAGTACCCACAACTTCTGGAGGCAAGTCGTTCCACTGCTTAATTGTCCTCCCTTTCAGGAAATTTCTCCTTACTTCTAAGTTGCTTCTCTCTTTGATTACTTTCCATCCATTGCTTCTTGTCCTGCCTTCAGGTGCTTTGGACAATAGCTTGACTGTCTCTTCTTTGTTGCAGCCCCTGAGATATTGGAAGACTGCTATCATGTCACCCCTAGTCCCTCTTTTCATTAAACTAGACAGACCCAAATCCTACAACCATGTTTTTCATATGTTTTAGCCTCCAGGCCCTTAATCATCCTAGTTGCTCTTCTCTGTACAATTTCCAGTCTCAACATCTTTTTTGTATCATGGCGACCAAAACAGGACACAGTAGTCCAAAGATGGGCAAGACATTATAAAGTGGTATTAATACTTCATGTGATCTTGGTTCTATCCCTCTGTAAATGTAGCCTAGGACAGTGTTGGCAGCTGCAGCCAACTGCTGACTCATATTTAAGTGATTGTCCATTAAGATTCCAACATCCCTCTTACAATTACTACTATTGAGCCAGGTACCACCTATCCTATATCTGTGCATTTGGTTCTTCTTCCTAAATGTAGAACCTTACTTTTTTCATACTTCCTGCTTTTTTTTTTTACAGTAATTGTATATGGTGATCCTTATTCAGTCATTTGCTTATTTGTCGAATTTTCTACTAAAATTTCCAAAAATATAGCAAAGTTCTGCTTGATTGCAAATGCTATCAGAAGACTCCCAAGTTTGATTGTTAACATGATTAAGGATAATGAACTGCCATATCTATCATCTTTACAGGTAATCCTCAACTTACAACCATAGTTGAGCCCCAGGTTTCTTGTGCTAAACAAGACAGCTGTTAAGTGAGTTTTGTCCCATTTTAGATATTGCCATAGTTAAGCAAATCACTGTGGTTATTAAGTGAATCACATGATCATTAGGCAAATCCAGACTCCCCCATTGACTTTACTTGTCAGAAGTTGCTGGGAAGGTTACAAATGGTGATTCCATGATCCTGTGACACTGCAGCTGTCATAAATATGATCCAGTTGCCAAATACCCAAATTTTGATCATGTGACTATGGGGATGCTCAATGGTCATAAGTATGAAAAATGGTCATGTCACTTTTTTACAGTAAGTCTATATGTATTCAATTTATTTTTATTTTTTTATATACACACATTATTATTATTAATCGTTCTCTGTAATTTGCTCCTTGTGCAGTTTTTTGGTCTCTGACCCATAATCCAAAGACACAGAGAAGGTTTGTTAAAGACCTCTATCTATTAAGGGATTTAATAGGAGGAATCCCAATAGTGGACATTCTTTGGGAGTGAAAGTTGACTCAAGCAATTTATAATTTCAAAAATAAAGTCAGTTGCAAGAACACTGACACAGGCAACTGCCCACATGCACACGCACACGCACACAAACTCTCTCTCTCTCTCTCTCTCACACACACACACACAGAGAAAAAAGAGAAAAGAGAAAAAATACTGGCTTCTCTTAGCTATTTACCAGTCTGGTGTGTCCTATGGTAAGTATGAAATCAAAGAATGGCTCCAATCCAGCCTGCTGAGCAGGGGAATTTTCCTGAATCTGCAAAAATGGCAAAATTGACATATATACACATTGCATAAAACTGAACATCAGCATAAGAATGCACTTCCTAAAGAAAGTTGGATGCTTAATGCAAAAAGTGCTTGAAGTAAGCATGTGCACAGATTTTAACCATAAACATATGTTATTAATAACTGGAGGAGTTTCTTATAATCTGGAGCCCCAAGACCGAAGCTGCCCAGCCCAGCAATTTGGAGAAGAGTCGTAGTGGCACATTGGTTAGAATGCAGTACTGCAGGTCTAACTCACTGCCAGGGGTTCGATTCTGACCAGTTCAAGGCTGACTCAGCCTTCCATCTTTCCAAGGTCAGTAAAATGAGGACCCAGATTGTTTTTGGGGGGGGGGCAATATGCTGATTCTAAACCTTTTAGAGAGGGCTGTAAAGACCTTGGAAAAGGCATATACGTCTAAGTGCTAATGCTATTTCCCTGTCCCAGAGACAAGATCCAAGGCAAGGCCAAACATCACCTCCTTTCATAGTAAGCTTCTTGGGGAGTTCACAATTTCTGAAATTTTAATTCTTTTGCAAGAAGGATCTCAATTTCTCAGACTTTGGGTTAAACATTCTCCACAGAACTGCTTGCAGTGCACTTATACAGCTTAGGTTCAACATACGCCCACAGAATGCATTTCTGAATAGTTCCTTTAAGTCAAGCTTGACATCTGATGTCTTTGTGCACACCCAGCAATACGGAAGGGCTTTTGACTTTACATTATTTCAAGAAGCTTAACTTCTGAAAGCCACCGAGGAAGGGCAACGTACCCCTCCCCACAACAAGTTAAACATCTCACGCCAAGACCTCGCCCAACAACCTTCCTTAAAAAAAAAAAGAACAATAAATTACTTCTGCAGTCATGACTCATAACCTCTGCACACAATATTAAAAAGGCACAGCACTAATCTTGCAAAGACATGGCTTAATCATTCTGTTCCACCCAAGCTACAGGATTCCAATCATCCCCAACCAATTTGACCGTTGGGATAGAGGTTGCAGAATGAGAAATGTATTCAGAGATACATTCAGTGAGGAAGGGTGCATCAAGAGTCAGCACCCATACCATATCAAAGATATACGTGCCTAAAGATATTTTATCCATGTAGTTGTCTCTATTGCTATTATCCTTGTTATTTTCTCATCTTTCTTACCTCTCATCTTTCCTACTACATCCTCCTATTGGTAAATTATGATTATCAATTATTGTTTGCATCTTATGATTTATAATTGTATCTATGACTTATCACTTTGTTGCTTGTATGTACTGGGAGCTTATGCACCAGAGACAAATTCCTTGTGTGTCCAATCATGCTTGGCCAATAAATAATTTTATTCTACTCCATTTGATTTGATTTTTATTCCACTTTTATAAGTAACTCAAGGTGGCAAATATACATAATACTTCCTCCTCTTTTCTCCACAACCACCACCCTGAGAGAGAGGGACTGGCCCAAAGTCACTCAGCTGGCTTTCTGGGACTCTAACTCAGTCTCCTGATTTCTAGGTCAACACTTTAACCACTACACGAAACTGGATATGGTGTGATCCTTCCAAGATATTAACAAGTTTAGTCATGTTCTATTTTCACCAATGCAAAATTCATCCTTGAAGCTGGGATATACCTTTTAACAAAAATGGCAAAATAGCAAAAAAAATAAATGACTGGATTCTACACACAGAAGAAAAAAAGGCATATGGCAACAGCTGTTTTAGGGTACAGTTAAGTTCTTTTTATACAATTTTGGTGGACTACTTTTTACTGCTATTGACTTTTGCAAACTGCCTTAACGTTCAGCAAAAAAATCAACTATGTTCTATGAATCCGCAATATTCCTCCCTACAAAGCAAGTTACTAATCGGAAGAGTAACAAATTGAGGTATCAGGTGGCAGGGCAGGTTTTCTGTAATTATGAACAAAGCTAAATGGCCCTGATTAGAGCTTGCATAGAAAACCAGCAAGGGAATTTCAGCTTAGAGGTCAGGCTGGAGAATCAAGAAAAATACCCTAGAGGAAGGCAATTCTCAAACTCTTCCATAGAGCTGTCAAGGAAATTACCCAAGTGGCCTTAGGGAAAGTCATTCAGAGGTTTCTGGGTCTTTTTTATTTCTCCAGCTTTCTTCCTGGATCAGGTGTCTAAAAGAACTAAGTATTCAAGGTATCTGGAGACAAAAACACTTGAGAGTCAATATACTTTCTACTCAAATAGACATTTATCGTGGTCAAGGATAGATATATTTATTTATTATTATTTATTTATTATTTAGATTTTTATACCACCTTTCTCCCGAAGGACTCAGGGTGGTGCACAGCCAACACTAAAACACACATATACAAACAATTTAAAAGCAATTTAAAAATATATTAAATAATTTGGCCCCGATATTATTAAAAAAAACTAAAACAACCATTAAAATTCATGTTTAAGCCAGCCCAGATTGTTGGAACAGTAATGTCTTGAGCGCATAGGTCAGGGATCATCCGTATCTCCAGGGGCAATTCGTTCCAGAGGCCAGGTGCCCCCACAGAGAAGGCTCTCCCCCTGGGGGTCGCCAGTCGACATTGTTTGACCGACGGCACCCTGAGGATTCCCTCTCTGTGGGAGCGTATTGGCCGGTGGGAGGTTATCGGTAGCAGAAGGCGATCTCGTAAGTACCCTGGCCCTAAGCCATGGAGCGCTTTAAAGATGGTAACCAACACCTTGAATCGCACCCGGAAGACCACCGGGAGCCAGTGCAGCTCGCACAGGAGAGGTGTTACATGGGTGCGCCGTGTCGCTCCCATAATCACCGCACGGCTGCATTCTGGACCACTTGGAGCCTCCAAGTGCTCTTCAAGGGGAGCCCCATGTAGAGAGCATTACAGTAGTCCAGACAGGAGGTGACGAGGACGTGAGTGACCGTGCGCAAGGAGTCCCAGTCCAGAAAGGGACGCAACTGGTGAATCAGGCGAACCTGATAAAAAGCCCCCCTGGCCACAGCCATCACATGATCTTCTAGAGACAGCCGTGCATCCAGGAGGACACCTAAGTTGCGAGCCCTCTCTGAGGGGGCCAAAATCTCACCCCCAATAGTCAGCGATGGAACCATACCGGGACGTCGGAAACCACAGCCACTCGGTCTTGGAGGGGTTGAGTCTGAGCTTGTTTCTCCCCATCCAGATGGATGTCAACTGGACTTATAGATGCTGTGCAAAGAAGTAAATATTGGCTCAAATATCAGGATGAAAATACTTGAAATAAGGACATCTGCCAGCAGTTTGGTCTAGTGGTTAAGTCACCAAGCTAGAAAGCAAGCGCACCTGAGTTCAAGTCCTGCCTCAGCCATAAAAGCCAGTCACTCTCTCTCTCTCAGCCCAACTCACCTTCACAGGGTTGTTTTTTGTGGGGGAAAATAAAGAGGAGGAAGCTTTGTTGGATATGTCCACTGCCTTGAGTTATATATAAAAACAGTAAAACAGGGGGGTTATAAAATTTATTTATGTTTATTTTATTTATAAAAATATTTATTTCTAAATAAATAAATTTATTTATAAATCAATAAAATTACACTCAGCCTCACAGAGGGCGCTTCCCATGATCCTTTCCCAGCTGGTCACTTGTCATCAAGAGATGTTGGATTGGATGCCCATCATCCCCGTCCACTGGGTGAGAGCAATGGGTCCTGGAGTCCATCATTGAAAAAAGCTTCAGGGGGGCCAGCAGTGCCAATACCCTCCTCCCCCCCCAGAAGGATTGGACCAATGCCTGTCCTTCCCACCCACTGGCTGGGGATGATGGGCGCTGGAGTCCAGCTTCGATTTCGGACTGGCTACGCCTCAGTTGGGTCCCTCCAGGGAAACGCTGCTTACCCCGTGCACATGATAACCCTCGGAGCCCCCATCGGGAACCTCGGAGCTGGAGCTCAGCCCCATGGCTGCCCGCCCGGTGAGACACCGACTCAAGCGCTGGGAGGAGGAGAAGACCCCGCCGGCTTCAACGGCTTCCCCGCCGTCTCCATCGCCAACGACACCACAGCTCCCACAGCTGCAAACCCTGGCGCGCATGCGCGCGACAGCGGAGGACGCCGGGAGACAAAAAAAAAAAAAAAGACCAGCCAACGAAGCAAGCCGAGCGACACACGCGCGCCTCATAGGCTGTGGCGCCCGTCAGTCCCCTAACGTCTCCAACAGGGGCTTAGCAACGGAGCGGGGGGGCGGGGACAGCTGGCGTTTTGGATGCGTGGGGTGGGTGGGAAGAATGCCGGAGAGGAGGAGGAAGAGGAAGAGGGAGGGAGGAGGGAGAGGCGAAATCCGCCGCTCTCCAGGAAAGGAGGGGCGTGGCGGCGAGGAGGAGCAGCTCTTCCGCGATTGGTTGCTGAAGACGTTCATCTCGGGGCGGGGCCGGGACCGGTTTGTGGCACGCGCTTTGTCGGTTAGGTCAGAGGGGTCTCCAACCTTCGACAACTTTACGATTTGTGGACTTCAACTCCCAGAATTCCTCAGCCAGCGCAGCTGGCTGAGGAATTCTGGGAGTTGAAGTCCACAAGTAAAGTTGTCAAAGGTTGGAGACCCCTGGGTTAGGCCGGTCAATACGATTTCCCTTCTCCTTAGAGAGGGCGCGATGGCTGTCGCGGACCCCCAGTCCATGGTAGTCTCCACACGCTCCCAAAATACACGTGTTTCTGATATAAAAATACAGCTATTGAAATACAGCTGGGAACGCTGGCCGTATTAACCGAGAGATGGGTTCATATGCCTTTTAAGGGCAATGCTTCTCAACCTCAGCAATTTCAAGAAATGTGAAATTTAAGGGGTAGCTTAGTTTTTGAATCTATGTAATATTTTTAGGGTCATCTTTGAACAATGTTTAATTGAAACAAAAGGTTTAATTAAAGTTGGACAGCTTTTTGAAATATATTGCAGTTTTAAATCTAAATTTAATGGATAGTTGTTGTTTTTTAAAAAGTCTGGAAATTTAGATCATGAAGAATGTTTTACTGAAACATAAAGTATTAAGATATTTTAAAATGTTTAACTTGAGATTATAGAACTCTTAAAAGGCATATATAATTAAATGTTAAATGTTTGATGTTACTTAACTTAATGGTTAAAAATGCTACTCTAAAGATATGTTTTAAAGAAAGTTCTACAATGTTTAATTGTTTAATTAAGTTAAGTATATGTTAGCTTAGGTTTGCTAACATATACTAAGCTAAGCTGTTTTTGCCCTGGGAAGTGGGCGGGGGGGGGGGTTGAGGGGTGCTGAGGATAAAATTGTTTTATGATTTTTAATAAAATAAAAAGAAAGGCAAATGTATTAATAGAGAAGTAAGAAGAAGAAGATATAAAAGATGTATTAGATGATATATTCAATGATTGATTATTGTTTATATGTGTGATTATAAAAATAAAAAAACTTTTGTATTAAAAAAAAAATTGGGACTCTTGACAACTAGATGTATTTACGATGGTTGCCAGGATCATGTACTGTAATTACCATTTGGGACCTTCTGACAAGCAAAGCCAATGTGAGAAGTCAGATTGATTTAACAACCATGTTACTAACTTAACAACTGAGGGGAGAAAGATTGTACAATGGCAAAACTCACTTTAACAACTGTCTCGCAAACGTAACATAATTTTTGGGCTTAATTGTGGTTGTAAGTCGAGGCTACCTGTACCAGGAGTTGCTTAGCTTGAAGAAAATTTTGTTTGGTTTTTGTGTTACATAATATTCTAACTATGAATTCTTAGAATTGGAATTTTTTTTATTACTGCAGGAAGTATGACCTAGATAATTTTGGCTGATCTCAAAAATAAGGTCAGATCGGATTAATATTTAGATGGGAAACTACCAAAGAATCCCAGATTTTTAAAAAAATCACAAAAGAAAGTAATGTAAACCAACTTTCAAATGTTTGCCCTAAAAGCCTTGTGGCGGTTAACTTTAAGTTTCAATTTAAACTGAGTTTAAATATGCTTGGAATGAACACACATTTATCATCTGACAAAAATAAATAATAATGAATAATGAATAAATTAAAAGGAAAACAAAAAAAAAATTCAAAGGGCAGACTCAATGGATTACTGCAATGGCCCCCAACCCTTTCGCACCAGGGACCAGTTCTGTGAAAGGGATCGGAGAGGCTGTAATTTCATGTGCTGCCTGCATCCTGCGGATGGGGCTTCACTTGTTTATGTGGCCTGGTTTCTGGCATGCCACAGTCCAGTGCCAGTCCACAGACCAGGATTGGGAACCTCTGAACTATTGAGTGTTTTTTTTATGCCATTAGTTTTCTATGTTTCTATGAGATATCCATGAAGTTACAAAGAGTCAAGCTCAATTTAAAACATGTTTTATCCTACCTTAGTTTTATAGCCAGCTCAAATTTCCAAGTAAAAGTATATGGATCAATGACATTTTTGAGCACCATGATACTTGCCGCTGATGTGTAGAAATTAATCTCAGTTACTTTTTATGACAAACATAAATATCTAGCGACATGTTTATAGAACAGTTTATACCGTTACTCCTTGGTAGATGTAGTGAGGATTTCTTTTAAATGCTGAGTTAGATAGCAGATCCAAATCTCCCTGTTTTTATATATATTTCTCTTAATATAGTGAGCAGAATCAAAATAACTTTTCAACTCTCTCTTTTTTTTTCATCTCAAGGCTAGAATTCTATACTATGCTCAGGAAAAATACTTCAACCATGTTATTCAAGCAACCAACATTGAACTGTCCAAACATGCTCATGATCCAGTGCTGCTATTTTTCAAGGGTCTTGGAACCTTGCTTCTGGGTAATTCATAAAAATGATCACTTAAAATAAATTAGATGTGCTGAGTAAATACTGTAGGATTACAATTAATGTTTCTGGAACAGGAGTTGGAGATAAATGTGGAAGGAGTGTTGAAAACTCTGTACAGTTTAGAAAAGATGATTAATTTACATTCGCAATCTGCCATTCTCTATGCAAATTAGTATAAAGAATCAAGAGATCTCTGAACTAAAACTGGAAATTGAAAAGCTAGAACAAAATCTGCTTGGTTTAGAAAACAGATCGGTGGTGTAACTTGATAGAGCAACTCAGCGAATCAAAATTAATTTGAGCAAGTAAGTAGTTTAAAAGATAATATGAAATCAAATGATACTGAAATGTCTTAAAGCAACAAGAATAAACTAATTAATACATTAAAAGTACACAAAATTAAAAACTAAAAGCCAAATTAGCAAAATAAATGTATCAGATCTATACATTAATAAATCATGAGAAAAACAAAAAAAAAAACAAAATATACAATACCAAGGATTGGAAAATAATATTAGGACATTTCCACCCAACCGTAATAATCAAGCCTCTATTTGCAGAGCTGATTTTGCATGAATTGTATTGGCTACAGGATTAGCTTTGCTCTCCAAAATAATTATGTTTATAAACTTTAAAGAATAATACAGTTGGAAGGGACCTTGGAGGTCTTTTAGTCCAACTTCCTTTTCAAGACCCTATACCATTTCAGACAAGTTGTTGTCCATTCTCTTCTTAAAAACCTCCAGTGATGGAGCACCTACAATTTATGGAGGCAAATTGTTCCACTGGTTAATTGTTCTCACTATCAGGAAACTTCTCCTTAGTTCCAGGTTGCTTCTCTCCTTGATTGGTTTCTATCCATGAATTGTACTGGCTATAGCTTTAGCTTTGCCCTCCAAAGTAATTATGTTTATGGTAGCTTCCAAGTGAAATCTACTAAAAATTAAATTCATTGCTTTGGACCTTTACAGGCCGAATCCAAGAAGGCATCTCACTGCTTGAAAATGCCCAGAAACGACATGCTGATGTTTCCTTATGCTGCCTTCTAGGTCTCATTTATGCTCACAAAAGATGTGAAAACGTTGGTGAGTTATTATCCCACAAATTGTTTAAAATGAAAGCTATAGCATATTTTCAGGAGCTCTCTTGCAATCTTGCAGTCAGTCAGATGAAAACCTGATGAGGAAGACTTCTTTCTTTCTTTCTTTCTTTCTTTCTTTCTTTCTTTCTTTCTTTCTTTCCTTCCTTCCTTCCTTCCTTCCTTCCTTCCTTTCTTCCTTCCTTCCTTCCTTCCTTCCTTTCTTCTTTTCTTCCTTCTCTTCCATTTTGATCCCTCTATTTATAATGCTAAACTGTGCAGAGGGAAAATAACTACAGTTGGAAGACTGAAGAAAACTTGGCCAAATAAATATTGAGTTTCAGAGGAAAAATAAGATGTGACAAGCAGGTATTTTTAAATAAAAAGTACAAGAAATTGAAGATAAAGGTCAAATTGAAGATAAAGGTCAAATTGAAGAATTATTTAAGAACATTACAAACATGAAGGAAATTTTTTATGTCAAAAAAGTCAAGAAAAATATAAAGAAGTGTTAGTGCAAGAACGTTACCAAAATTATCTGCAAATCAATTAATTGTACAATGGCTTGATAAATCAAAGACAAGTGAAAAGCTGGCCAAGAGAAGAAAGTAACTAGATATTGCCACTAATGATATAAGAATGAATTTATAGGAACTCAAAGAAGATGTTATTGAAAGACAATCCTTTTTTTTCCAAAAAAAAAAAAAAGAAAAAAAGAAAGACAATCCTAATGAAACAATACCCACAGTCACAATCAGGAGCAACTGGACAACAATAATGAGATGGAGTCATTCACTTCAAGCAAACACTCTATTGAGAAATCATATTAATACCTGCAATACTATTTAATTCTAACCTACACTCTCTTGCCAGTGTCTCCAGGGTGGCATCTATAGGTGTCAATATACCTGCAGATACTTATTTTGTTGCCGGCCAGGCTTCTTGTCATATCTGACCTTTCATATTTTTCTAATATTTTAAATTTTAAATAAAAGGGGGGAAAAAGCAATAATGTTCACAATGATTTTGTTTCCTATGCGGCATAGTGATCTGTTTTTGAGAGAGAGACCTACGGTTATGAAATGTCAAACAATGTTGACTTCTGTTCTCAGAATATATGATATCCACAAATATTCAAGCATGTCAATTGCAATATCATAACTTTCTCAGTTTT